CGTACATATGCAGTGTTTCTGCGGCGAAAAACTGGAGTATGACTAAAAACATCGACTTGCGCCCAACAAGTGGAACCTTTCCCATGACTTCAAATTCCAGTGATGTCGAGACTGACACCAAGTAAGTCCTGCTGCTTTGTGTTCTCGGGATAAAAAACGGAGGTCTCTTAGGTCCTCTGGCTCTATACTCGGTCGACTTTAGGTGAATTCAGACAGTTCGTTGGACAAACGACGATGTGAGAACCACTCTGTTATTAACACGCCACATGAGTTTATGAAGTATTTGGATTCCGAGGAGTTGCCACTCGTGGTCGACCAGATTTGTAGTGTTTTCCTTAATCACTGTTTAACTGTTGACAGGATAATACCGTGATGTCAAAAGTGAGTTAACAAATTAATTATCATGTGTGTTCACCACTGGTGTTGATGCAGGTTTGACAACGACGACGCATAGATGACACTAAGTTTTTGAAGAAAGCTTGGGAAATGTTGTTCCATGTCTGAACCAACGCTTGTCCCAATTCAGCTAACGTCAATGGCTGATTCCGGACTTGACGTAAACGTCTCTCCATTTCATCCCAAGCGTTCTCAATAGGGGTGAGGCTCAGAGAAACAGCCGACCAGGGGAGTACCGGAATGTTCAGCTGGCTCAGGAAATGTGTCACGGGCATTATATTGCTGAAGCTTGAAGTTACGAGAGATTATGTATTGTAACTATGTATTATTTCGGGTGAGACTTGAATAGATAACCTCTCTCACCTCAATATATTAACTATGTTTTTCTGACATTAGACTATTGATAGCTACAATTATACATGGAAGTCAACGACGGCAGCAACACGTTACATTAGCATATTATTCTGTCACCAATCAATGTATAGCGTTATAATAAGCCGACGATTATTAATTAATAACTCTCTCTAGTGTTAGTCAAGAGTTTGACATTGATATATTCTATCTATGTAATTAATCATTTATCGATTTCGGTCGAAACTCTTTTATCTAAAGACCAATCAAATGCTGGTGGAATGAAATTATTATTCAGACCTCAAAGGAATCCTCTTCAACCGACTTCATGGCGATTATAAAGGAGAGGTTACATGTCTCGTAAACTGAACATATTTACAAACCCCTTACCACATCAGAAAGTCCACGTCCCTCATAATTCTTTTGGTGAATGTAAAACTCCTGGTTGAATGGTTGACTGTCGCTTGTACTCTCTTATAAGGCAAAACAATGGGTCCAGTTTGTGGACCCTAACTAAACCTAGTCCCTATACATGAGTCATTGCATGAGTATGTCTGGGATTTGTCCCAGATGAATGTCTTTAATGAGTCATGGATCCCAGTTCTTGAATCATGTTGTAAACATAAAGAAATGTTTTCAGATCAGCAGTCCGTCCAAACTTCAAGTCAGTACAAAAGATCTCCATAGTCACGCTCTTATCCACTTTTTAAATAATTCTAGATACTCGGAAGAGAGATTTGTTTTAATAATAGCTGCATGATAATATATAGCCGAATGAGGAACACATTACCGCGTAAGAAGAGTTGGGAAAGTCTGTTCCAATCCTCTTGTAGCTGTAGCGCCTAGCCACGTTCAGCCAGTGACGTTGAATCAAGCTCCAGATGTGCCCATTGGGGGAAGGTCTTGGCTCATTCCTGGACCTAGTGTTCTGTGGATATTGTGCAGCGGAAGTGAGCATCGACGAGTTCTGCACTGTGAGCTCAGACGCTGTTGTCCTGTGTGACAAAACGATCTGCAAACTGGACAACAAAGGGTGTTTGTGCGTTGTTTTGATAGTTCTTTGCAATGAGGACAGGGATTTATTTCGACGTTGCCATACACGACCACGCGTGAAAACATGGCAACTCATGACAATGACGATTACCAGCGTTTCGACATCTGTTGGAGATGAGGGCGGCACAATCTCGAACGCCGAGCATGACCCGCATGTAGAACATTTCTAATTGTCTGACCCATAACTCGTACTCCAGTAGCCTAATGAGTGTATGCAGACTAGTTAGACTTCGAGTTCACGGAGCCTGGTTCGGATCTATCGATCCTGTACTCTTGTCGTTGACCTGGGACGGGGTTGACTCTCAACATTTTGTGTTTGTTGATTACTGGTCCAGAGTCACACTTCACACTGACGCCGACCAATTTCTAGCATACCAATAAAGTAAGCAGATGCCAGGAGCGTTGCTGACGCCCACTCGTGAGCTCATATACAAAAAAATGAATGAAATATTAACGATACCATGCCAAACAGACAGACAGACAGACAGACATTTTATTCAGTAATAGGCCACTGGCCCAAAATACATTTATACATATGATAAGAAGTTACATGCGTTTTACCAGGGAGACTATATAACGTTGTAGATTATCCCTGGTTTTACATAAAAACATCAGAATCTCTTATTTTCCCAACATTATATAAAAGTAGGCACAAATTATTTATAACATTTATGTTTGTTGAAGTCATTATGTTTATAAAACTGTGTTGTGAAATAGGATGTTTCAAATATTTACCCAGAAAATTATTCCTTATATCTAAGTAGGCTGTACAATAAAGTAAAACATGTATTTCATCTTCAATTAAATTAAGATTATTTTTGTAGCAAAGAGGACAGAATCTTGAATAATAAGGGACATTGTTATATCTACCGGTCTCAGAACTAAGTTTAAATTTACCGCATCTAAATTTTGTTAAACAATTTCTTAAATATTGGGCAATACCTAAACTGAGATAAGATTCAACATTCAGGAGGGACTTGAAAAGAATATAATTAGAACACTTGGTTCTACTATGTAGGGATGAGTACCAATCTTGTGAAAGATTATCAGACAATCTTTGCTTAAAAACAGAAATGAAACCATCAATATCTCCAATATCCTGTGAAATCCAAACAAAGCCAAACCCAAATCTAAATAAAATATTCTCGATATGAGATGCTCATGTCGTCCGTCCAGATTCATCCAAAGACTTAAGCATTAAATAAAACTGATGAGGTAATCTACAACTTGGAAGAGTTAAAAGTCTACACCAATATTTAACTGCCCTTGACATATAAGTAAGTTGAAGAGGGAATCTGCCACATTCACCAAGAACCATATTGTTGCATGTATTTTTACCAACTTTTAAGAAATATTTACATGCCAAACAAACGCTAATAATGACCCAAATATGAAATTTCAGACTTCTCAGACTGCTCTAGAGAAATTAGGATGGAATATACAACAGGACTATTTTATGAGTATTATAACTAAATACCCACAAAGTATTACTTACATCTATTTACTCGCCCGTGGAAGATACGGCAGGGTAATACACTAGTGTAATACTGCTAGACTATAGTTATGACGTCACAATGCTAATGCCTCTGTCGCAATGGAATTAGACTTCAATTGACTCGCGGAAAATTGATATCAGAGTCATCACACTGTAGGCAGTTTCTATCAATATATGTTGGAGAGTAATATACAGCATACTAAACTCGCTCCCGTAAAAACCCATTTTCATAAAACTCGCTTTCGCTCGTTGATACCAAATCATTAACTCGTTTAATGAAATAAATTACACGGAAGGTCGTTTAGTATCCTCTTTATATCGCATCGCTCTCATAATCATAATATACGCAATACGATCTATACGTAATACCATTCGTCGTTCTTAATGTACTATTCATCATTTTAACAGATTCTTTCTTTGTTCTCTGTAAAGCTATGATGTTTCAACGCTGATTTACCTCTCCCACAACATCTTACATCATTTGTACCTTAGCATTGCCCGTTCTTACCATACCAGTAACTATTCACCGTTCTTATAACACGATTCGTCGTTCTTCGGAGTTGTTACCCTCAGGTAAGAATATGCAAACCTGAAACGAGACTGCAGAAACGTGAATAAACCCGTCCCATCCCCGCCATCTGTCATCCAAAGTTTGCAGCAGTTCCGACGGACAAGGCCTCAAATAATATAACCATTATTTGCAAGCAGTACTACATTAATTGCCAAAGACCTATAAGTGGCATATCAATTCTTTAAAAGATGGTATTCGTTATTCTTCCTCACCTCACCTCACCTCACCTCACGTGACAACACCTATTGAGGTTAAGTCGTGAACAGAGTAATCGGATAAAAGACTGGAGGTCAATGGTGTTTGGATTACTGTGTAATTAAGCTGAGTGGATGATGATGTGATTGGCCTGTACACAGTCCCAATATCACGATAACAGTACAGGGTCACGTATTGCCAATATCACAGTTAGGCATATGCTAGTTAGTTGTCCTGACTTCCGCTTCAACTTATTGTTTCTTGGAGTTGTAAGGCTTCATTCAGAGGTGTGATGGTTGTGGGTTTCTCGAGATGGTAAGAGTTCTTGTCTTCACAAAGGGCTGATTCTACGTCTCCACGGCTGTTCAATTAGCAATGTCCACAGACTGATGAACAGAAACACCAGACCGGAGTATGGCTGATTACATTGTAGGCATAATGTAAATTGATTATCTCTCAATGTTTTTGTCTGAATAACATTCTTGAGAATTTGAAACAAGGAATGGTGGTTATGGTGAATCTCAGGTACACGAAGAAAATAAAAAGGCTTCCACGCGCCCATTTTAATAAAAGTGACAAACGCTTCCAAAACCATTTTAATCTTACTTAAAAGCCAAGGTCAACGTACGATTCTGATTATAAGCATGTGTTTATGAGGCATTATCAAGTAGTGATGATACCAGGTATTGGCAACACGGCGAGCTTACACTATCCGTATAATCGGCTGACATCCATATTATGTTCATCAACAGATTATTAATCTTAAAGTAACCAAGTCATTTCTTAAAATTGTCCAAAATCATAAACTATGAAAACCAGAAACGTCTCATTTAGCTCTGTTACATTAAGTCTTTTCCGTTTTCCTTGAAGTGGTTTATTCATCTTTCCCACAAGTATGCGAGTTGGCGAACAGAGTAAGGCCCCTGATTGGGAGCACACCAAGTCAGCGGCTGTGTTGGTTAGATCGCTGACCTTGTGTACTGGCGATTAGGAGCCTTACTCTGAGAGTATGTGTCCGAATCCCGGATGGGACACCAGTACAAGAATCTGTACGTTACTGAGAAAGTGTAATTCAAACTATAACATATGTTGCATTGTACTACTTTCTGCTAGGCAGTTTATTCATAATTTCTTTTGATACCAATGTGAACGCACAGATTAATTGATGACAATATAATCTAACAATTACATGGGCGGGAAAGGGATATCCATTAAAATTGTGTTTACATATACAATGTAATTAGTACAATTATTGGTACTACAATTATTTGTGATATGATTAAATCGGTTGGAAGTAATGCAATCTGGTCTGACATTAAGAAAGTTTATTCCGTGGATACTCCAAGCTGACATATAACGCTATTTGGGCCCATGCTATACAACATGCAATAGCCGCAGTCAGTCAGGAAACTGAGAGTGCATCCCCAATGGTTTGCTTCATCACGTTAACATGCTTTCAAAATGACACAGTTATCACTAGATAACAATACCTCGATTGACAAAACAAAACGCGTCGACTTTAACTTTGTAAAATGTTTAAACAGACTGAGTATGATATCGAATTAAGAAACACTGCTCGGATGCAATACTGATATGATAAGCTTACTACAATTGTAATTCACCCTGTCAAGTTGTTGTATTTCAGATACTACTCCCGTGTACTTAATATTAGGGGCGGTGGGGTAGCCCAGTGGTTAAAGCGTTCGCTTGTCACGCTGAAGACCCGGGTTCGATTCCCCACATGGGTACAATGTGTGAAGCCCATTTCTGGTGTCCCCCGCCGTGATATTGCTGGAATATTGCTAAAGCGGCGTAAAACCATACTCACTCCACTCCACGTAATATTATAGCAAGGCTCCGCTCCTACATCAGCACAACTCTGCCGTTTAGCAGCCACTGATTGTCACAGCCCATTTGAGAAGGATTAGCAGCTACCAGAACTATTATTAGCATTTGATCATCTCAACAACAAACAAAGTTATACAACAATACAAAATGTTTCAATTAAAAGGAAAGATCGCAATGTCAACAAGAAAGAATACAAGAATTACTCCGAAGAAAAGATCCCCAAGAACACCTGGAACATGTTTCAAAACAAGAACCTAAAATATTATGAACACTATACTGAAAGGTAAAACTCATTGTAACACACAAACAACAAACAGAATCCGTGTTAAACTTTACTGCCGCCAATGAAATGTGAGTGAGAGAGTGAGTTTATCTTTATGCCATGTTGGTTATTGCAAAGGAAGTCAAATGGTTCAAGACACGGGAACAAGCAACAGTCCATAACGCCAGAGCCACAACACAAGAGGAAGTGCTTAAATGATGGTTTGACGGGGCGGTGGGGTAGCCTAGTGGTTAAAGCGTTGGCTCGTCACGCTGAAGACCCGGGTTCGAATCCCCACATGAGTACACTTTGTGAAGCCCATTTCTGGTGTCCCCCCGCCGTGATGTTGCTCGAATATTGCTAAAAGCGGCGTCAGTGAGTCAGTCAGTCAGTAAATGATGGTTTGACGTTGTTTTTGCGTTTATCGAAGGATAACAGTCAGACAATGAGTAGAATCGTAGTGAAGCAGACGATGACTGCATTTGTGACTGTTATCCTACGATAAATGCAAAAACAACGTAAAATCATCATTTAATCCACTCACATAGATGCCACTCCTCACACAAACAATTCATCACAAAAATAGTCGAAAAATCCTTTGAAATCCCAAGCAACGACTAGTAATGATAATATTTGGTTGATATTGTAAGATTTACCGTAGCGAGTTAATATACAGATAAGCATGAACATCATCACTGCATCCGCCAGCTTACAACGTTGTAACTCCACTGGATGACAAACATACATCTTCTCATGTTACTGGGACTAATTTGTCTGTTTAACCAACAGACACAACAGAAAGTACTGACACCAAACGTCTTCATAATTATATTTTATTGAATTGGCAGAACTATTCTGTTTTGAAATTTGAACCAGTATCTGTGCTAGCACGTCACACAAAGTATATTCGAGAGCGATGTTGGCGAAAGAAAGTTTGATTTTGGTTGTTGTCACGACGAACGAGCAAAGAGCTAACGGCCTGACAATAACAAGTGCTCCAGCCGAAATGTTCGTGCTCTGTTGTGCGGCTAACATGTCGCTTATATAGCGTTCATTCTTTGAGGAGCAATATCCCAAAAATAGTGCATTTGTATCAGGATATTTAGACCATTCAGCCGCACGAAATGTTTCCCCTGTGGCATCCATCCTTTGATTAGATGAAATTTCTGAGTCACAAAGCTCTCCCTGTATATAAATTCTATTTATGAGCGTACACTTGCCAAGGTAAAGGTCAACGGGAAACACCCCTTTGAAAAGTAGTCACTTTCCTCTATAATTTCCCGCGGTTACCGAAAAGGCCACGTGTTCACATATGTACTTGCCGTGCATGTAATGGCCTGTAACGTTATATTCGTATATTATACTCTGTATGATCGAGTTTCACCTCGGCCAAATCTGCCCTCATACACGGTCCATATTGTATTATTGTATGTATACTGTTTATTGTATGTATGTATGTATGTATGTATGTATGTATGTATGTATGTATGTATGTATGTATGTATGTATATATGTATGTATGTATGTATGTATGTATGTATGTATGTATGTATGTATGTATGTATATTGTATGTATGTATGTATGTAATACTGTTTATTGTATGTATGTATGTATGTAATACTGTTGTATGTATGTATGTATGTAATATGTGTTTATGTATGTATGTACTGTTTGTATGTATGTGTATGTATGTATGTATGTATGTAATGTAATACTGTTTTGTATGTGTATGTATGTATGTATGTAATATTGTATTGTATGTATGTATGTATTGTATATTGTATGTATGTATGTATGTATGTAATACTGTTTATTGTATGTATGTATGTATGTATGTATGTATGTAATACTGTTTATTGTATGTATGTATGTATGTATGTTGTATGTATGTATGTATGTATGTATGTATGTATGTATGTATGTATGTATGTATGTATGTATGTATGTATGTATGTTTATGTATGTATGTATGTATGTATGTATGTATGTATGTATGTATGTATGTATGTATGTATGTATGTAATACTGTTTATTGTATGTATGTATGTATGTATGTATGTATGTATGTATGTATGTATGTATGTATGTATGTATGTATGTATGTATGTATGTATGTATGTATGTATGTAAGTAATACTGTTTATTGTATGCATGCATATATCCTGTAACTACACAGTTGATGACAATTACTAATGAACAACCGGTTCCTTCATATCGCATATCATTCATTATGTGAGTTGCACCATGCTTGTGCACAAGGTTCACAAGGTTTTATGGCAGATATGTGAATACATTTAAGCATTTATCCCCTCAAGTTCAAGCTAAAGGCACATTTGTGTGGTAACATTTATCACTGCGAACACAACACATCGCCTAGAGTGTAGGCTCGGATGTAACGTAAAGTGTCAATGGTCTGTTCTACAAGAGCTTATAATTATCGCTTCAAAGGAAGCCTTTCACAGTCCGCCTGCACTCTCCTGCTCTTATCATTCTGTGACTTTCTCTGAACTGAGTGGTCCCATTTTCTGTGGCCGAGCTGAAGAATCTAATTGACTATTCCTGACTTATCATGGGGCTACTCCAGTACAGATCAAGCACAATACAAAATCAATTGATAATAAAGTAACGTCAAAACGTCTGATCTAGAATACGAGATATGAAGATTTTGTCTGTCGTGGTAAAGGCACTTTGATGGTCATAATACGGACAATGTATATTCTCTATTTTACAGATAAGAGCTTCCAAGTATTAGATATATGAATACTGCAGTGTCCAAATACAGAGAATCGGCGTGTGTGTAGACCCGAAGAAGTGACTCCGAAATGTGTAATGTGGCTTAAATGTTGCGTCGGATCTAACCGAAGTGTCACTGCGTCCCTCTGGTGGTATACCGACAAGACATGGTATTGATTTTGCTTAAGATGTTAATCTCACACAACGAAATTGCCTGGTACAACTGTCAACATACAGGATATGCTTAAGAGATTCTGCAAGCCAACATGGTTACACGTTTGCTACAGGAGACAATTTTCAGTTTCAGCGAATAATGTGCAAGGTACGAGCGCTATAGACAATGCTACACTTTTTTTAATCAATACATCACACGCAATTAAACAAACACACACTAAAAGAAACCGTGAGGACTTTATTTCTTCATGTTTTACTGAAAAAAATATTTCATAAAAACGCTCAACAATATGAAGCACATGTACTAAATGCCAGTTTTCATTATCATTGAATCCTTAAAACATTGTGTATCACTTTGGCAGAATGACAAAAGTCTAATTTATTACTTCCAGTACAGATACACTGGATCTGTGTCTTAATAAAACAAACGCCTTATCCTAGTGAATATATATACATGTATACTGCACACTTCTAAAACCAACACCTGCGTTACCTGTCTTATATACTTGAACAAAAAACTTCATATAAACCTTGGCTGAATTGAATGTCATATTTAGCAGGTGACGATGAAGTGTTGCTATTGCCGTAAAACTATGATCGAAGGTTCCAGTCAACGTATCCTGTAATAATATACTCATGCCAATAATAATTGTCACCCCCCTCCCCACCCCACACCCCCTCTCCAATTAAAAAAATTAAAGGGGGTGACAACCATTATTGGCATGAGTATATATATGTGTGTGTGTGTGTGTGTCTTTGCGAGAGAAGAACGTGGACTCTCTTTAATGGAGGTATATATCAATACGTCAAAATCCTGAAATAACCACTCTATTAGCGGAACAATGCACCTGCTATCCCTAACCATGTTCATCACATTCAGTATAAAAAAGCGGAAATAGGAAAGTGAGAAGTTGAATTTCGTATTTACGTTCACTAATATAAGTATAATTGACATATTGTTCATTGGAATACAGAGCAATGTTAGAAAATCAGACCCCGAAGCATTGCAACAAACACTGGAAAAAGATAAAATACTATACTAGTATATCTTAAATGCATGACATATCCGAAATGCATTAGGGTTGGCAGGTGGACACTGTCAGATCAGACACAATACTCAGATATTAAAGATTATGTACCGCATGGGACAAACTAAGGGTTGTTGTGAAGATCAAGGTGTCCTTTGTGTTCAATGCTACTTTCAGAATATATCAGAAGAGTTTATCAGTCCTTCCATATGGTGTTGTTTCAGTATTGAACAACTGAGTCCAGTTTATGTGTCTATCAGTTTACAAGATATGGATCTGTGTAAGCCAAACTACTCCATGTTGTGACATATCAAAAGGCGCAGGACTCTCCTTGTTAAACCATCTGTTTACCATGTGTAAACGCTCTGCTTGTATGTGTATACTGGATCGATGTCCTTCAAAGATGATGCAATCAGTGCTACACAGCTTTGTATTCGTCTCAGAACTGGACGAGGAGGCCCAGAGTGTTCCATTACCAGCAACATACCATTTTTAATATTTGTCCAGAATGTTCAGTGAACAACTTGTTTGGGTAAAACATCAAACATCCCCTTCATGCACGCACGCACACACTCACGCACGCTAGCACACACACACACAAACACAAACAGACAAACACACACACACACACACACACACACACAGCAACTCAAAGGTATTGTTAGGGGTTGATCCCAAGTCGAAGTTAACCGGAAATCAGTCCATATAAAAACTTGGTGTCAAACCATCAAACAACTAAGTAGTAGGACATATTAAAAATTATTCTAAAATTGACTAAGTTTACAAATTAATTATATCGCTTCAAAGGCAGTACAGTGACAGTACAGAATACAGTGGCAGTAGAAATTTGAAGGCAGTATAATAGAATAGCAGTGATTATAGCAATAATGACGGTAATCTTCACCTCACTGCATCAATGGTCAAGTTTCCAAAATAGACCTAGTCTCAGTATCCAAGCTAAGAATGATCTCCACACAACAGCTGGTCTTCCTATAACTTGATATGTAATACGAGATAAGATGCGAGGCAAGGGTTAGCTCCCCTTATGTGCGTACGAAAAAGACCCTAGACCTTCCTTTAATGCTCTTTGCGCCAGAACACACTGGAAAAGGCCTAAACGGTTGCAGTACATTCCAGAACTTTCTAAAGCACAAAAATCTAAATACAGAGCACACTACTGACTATTCATATGCACAATGCGTTACAGTTGGAACATTTTTACACAATTAATAACACTGCCACATAATTAAAACACGAATTCAGTAGCGGCTCCAAGGGGGATTCGGGAGATTCAAACCCTACCATCCCCCTTGTAAATTCTGATCCGCCTATGGTATTAAAACGTATAGGATAGATGTTCTACACTCCTGTGTGACGCCATTGTCTATGAAAATACATGAATACATTTCATATGGATAATGTGTTCCCGATTCCAGTCTTGCTACATGGCACCAGTCTTTATCTTGTCAGCTGTCACACCATTCGATATATCTACATTTTTTCATGACGCATTAGTCGGATAGATTTTAATTTAGAGGACAATAGGGAAAATCCAGATCCATTGTACAATGTGAAAATGTGATAACATTATCTGGGCAGTTGCAACATTAGCCTCTAAATTCTACGACATTTGATACAGTCGATACCAAGCTAGATTACAGCAAGATGCTATAGGCAAGCAGTGTTGGTTCATTAGGTGCTTAGCAGGTGTGTAGAACATCAATTTATAGCTTCATGAAATGAGAGTGATGTAGTGTGGTCCGGTAATAACAGTAGGTAATGTGCTTAACGGAATATTCATTTCTATACTGAATAGCAAGACATTAACTGCGATTGATTCTAAGAATTCCAACAATACAACCAATCTAGGCCAAAAAGCCCTTTTCATAATCACAAGAAATGTCTAATAATCGCAACTGTCTGAATCCGTCTATATCATAAAGCATGTGCTCGTGAATCACTATCATGTACTGATAAAAGTTGAGCGTATCTTTCCCCACCCGAGGCCCCTGTTGAAAGATTAACGAAACCATTAGTATTATGATACTGAAATTACTCCTGCAATGGCATGTGGTCAGTGTTTCCTTATGGGCAATAGCCGTTTTAAAGTAGGAAATGGAATTTCTGATGAGGGCTCTTGAATGTATTATTGTGACTGAAATAAGATTTAATAATGGCCTCGAAACTGTAACACGTGTTCGCAAACATACTTAAACTTAAAAAGATTGATATGAGAATATGTGCAGCCAAATCGTATCTTTTTCATGGAAAGTGTAAATCTCAACGATAGATCGAAGACGACAAAATAAGAGTTTATGTTGAATCTGCTCTTAAACAAACATTATCAGTATTAATAATGATCACAAGTGTTTATTCATATCATCAGTAATAGGAAAAGTCAGCGCTAGGGTCGTGCCTCGAGTAGGTTATATTGAGTGGTACACCTTAACATACACTGAAAATGAGTTCGATCAAAGAACAGTTACTGTTTGGCCAGATCCAGTCAAGGCGGGCGTGTTTACGAGGCGGATTAATCGACTACGACCAGGTTTTCCTCTTGAGATACTGTTAGCGGAACCACTGCAGAGCAAGCAAGACTTTTCATTTCTGTGTAATAACGAGAAAAATTTGCTAGCATATTCATCTGTTGGCGCTCTGGAGGAGCTACGTCTCTGGTGTATGGTGGCAGAAGTCGTTAACGACACTGCGACCAGTTGTCACCCATCAATCGAAGCGGTTGAACGGAATCAAAAATAGTATTGGAGTACTTCACAGCTGCGAGAAGGCCGTGAAACCACATCGCCAGCGTAGCGAGAAGCGGAGGTAACGTCAGCAGCGGAGGGAAGTGAGGATGTAAACAAGACGGAGGTAATGCTACAGTTCGGAATGGGTACACACCAAACCCATTTCTTCTCCTTCAGTGCCGTGGATAACAGCAACTGTTCGGCCATGTTCCAGCTTCGCCCAACCACGACTGACCCCCCGACAGTGCTATCCTACCCCACCCAGGCTTTGCCTAAAGTTGTCAGTTTGCCTGTTTGTAATGGGTCCGAACTTTCCACACCCTTACCGCGGGAGATGACATTTAATGATGACAATATGGTGTCGGTCATAGCTTACATATGCTTGTTCATAGTAGCTGCATCCGGCAATCTCATCGTCTTTGTGACATTGTTCCGAAGTCGGGGTTTTAAATCGCGTGTTAACACCTTCATCATGCATCTGTCTATAGCCGATCTGATCGTCGCCTTTATCATGCTGCCTCTTGAAACGTTGTGGCACATCACTGTGGCTTGGAAGGCTGGAGATCGGGCCTGTAGATTCATGATGTTCTTTAGGGCTTTTGGATTCTACCTGTCCTCCTTCATCCTCGTCACCATCAGCCTAGACAGGTACTTCTCCATCGTGCATCCCATGAGCATCCACGACGCTGACCGCCGGGGTAAAATCATGTTGGGTGTGGCCTGGACGCTCAGTGTAATTGCAAGTATGCCGCAGGTATGAGCATAGAATGTTTGATGTTGTGTGTCTTCTTAAATATGTCCGTGTGACTTTATTTCCTTTAGCTAAGTATGTGTAGGGGCAACTTTTTGCTAAATTACCCAAGTATATCACAGGGAGATATGTTATTTATTTACCTCCGGAGCAATATGTTGTGTATTTACCTAAGTATGCACTGGCTATATGTTGTGTATTTACCAAAATGTGCTCTGGTGCACGTGCTATGCTATATGTTGTGTATTTACCCAGTTATGCTCCGGCTATATGTTGTGTATTTACCCAAGTATATCACAGGAGATATGTTATCTATTTACCCAGTATGCACTGGCTATATGTTGTGTATTTACCCAAGTATGCTCTGGGGCAATATTTTGTGTATTTACCCAAGTATGCTCTGGCGATACATGTTGTGTATTTACCCACAGGGACTATATTTTGTCTAATTCACTTAATATACGTGTTTCTATGATATTATCATGTATATTTACCAAAGTATCCGGAGTGAATATTGGTTGTATATTTTGCTCAAATTCCCTGGATCTATATGCGGCTATGTTCAGGTATGTTCAATCTGCAAAGTGTTTTGTAAATTTCAGTATGTCTGGGTTGCAGATGGTTGTTCATTCACCTTAGTGTCGGGGTAGGGGATGGGCTGGCGGTCATATTTCCTTTTGATTTAACTGAGTATGTCCGTGGGTAAAGTTTATTGAAATAGACATGCCATTAACAGGAGAATGTAGTAGATCTATATTGATTCCTGCTCTGAAGACATTCCTGGCAAATTATGCCCTTCGGTCCGGTGCACATTTTGCGTCTTGAGAACATAATAAATTCATTATGTGGAACTTGTTAATTATCTGTGCACTAAGGGTTATTATGAACCACCAAACTACTACTAAACCTAATTTGTGAAGCAACATGCGAAGAACTGTCAGTTGATGGACTTAAAACAAATTTGTTAGTACTGCCAATTTAGCCAAGCCTAGACCCCTTTGAACAAAGTAATCGAAAGTAAATAACTGCCACAAACGCCCATTATTCGATTCAATGATAGATCAGTCATTATATTATTATCAAACATTCATGTAGCGTACACTTGCACGGCCATACGGTCAGACCTCAAATCACTGGGCTAATGAAACTGAAACGTGGTGATGACACAAAAAATGGTTCCCGGTATTCAGAAGCATTCATTACTGTTTTCTATAAATGAGATATAATGAAATAAAACAACTTCAAAGACCATCTTGTCAGACGTTTCTACAGCTGAACCATGTTTCGTTAATATATTACTGAACACGCGATATTGAGTGTTTTCAATTTGTTAGATAGTTCAAAGAACAACGGGTTTTATCAAACTATACTCATGGGTATTTTAACTTGATATAAGGCTTCGCTAAACACGATGAAAAGGAATAATATTCGTATTACAAAATGTCCAAGACGTTCGACAGAAGTCATATCCATATGAAGAGAGATAGAGAGTTATTTAAATCAGCCGAGCTACAAAGCTATTGTCAGTGTACGGACTGCAGGGTCCATTTGTATAATTGTATTACCTGGTCAGTCATTCACTATAACCTCCTCCAGATAGTGTCTGGCGTTTCTTCCAAAATGAAAAAAAGTGTTTCACATAAGTGTTCCCTGGATACCCTGGCAAATGAGTCTGGTGTCAGGATATTCAATGATCGATAATATGACTTGACATATCTGACGTTTATTCGCATGTTAGTGGTTGGATACACTTTAATCTCCAGCGTCCAATCAGGGCACATATCTGACATTCTTGCCACCCTGAATCGTCGGGCACCTATCTGATGCTCTAGCGTCCCTGAAAATCTGGGCATATATCTGACAATCTAGTGTATGTGAGTCCTTGGGGCACATACTTTAAGACCGCCTCCGTGGTGTAGTGGTTAGAGCGTCCACCCGGAGAGCGGAAGGTTGCGGGGTCGATCCCCGAACGCGTCATACCAAAAGACGTTAAAATATGGTACTTGTTGGTCCCTGCCTGGCGCTCGGCATTAATGGGTTCAACTAGGACTGGTGGGCTCGGAGTCAGTATAATGTGTCTGAGTGGGGTATTCATGCTTCACTGCGGCATGGTATCTCAGTGGGCTAGCACTATAAAACCAGCTTCGGTCTGGAGCGAAATATTCTCAAGCACGACGTTAAACCCACTTTCACCTCACCTCACCTCACCTCACCTCACCTCACATACTTTAAACTCGAGCGTACCTGAAGCGACGGTTACCCTTCCAACGCTCTAGTGTACCTGAAACTCTTTTGGGTACGTCATCACAGTCCTACCTCGATGCTTGTCATACGTTTAGATGCATCGAAAACCGTATTGTTCCTCATGCGTCAGAATGCAAGGAGCACCACTGTACGTTAAACAAATACAGGCGTGCACCAGTGTAATGTTGCAGACCGATGAAACATCTGATGAATATTTTACAACGAAGGTCAAGGTATCGTCAGGTGGTGCGCGAAAGGCACGGAGTCACGCACGCTCTGCGGGAACAAGATCGCGGTGATAGTCTGGCACGCTGCCATGCTAACGCCGACCACAGTGCAATCAGGAAGGCTGTGAACAAACAGGAGACCATGAGAATGTATTGGTCTATTGGCATGTGTACCGTTGTAGACACCTTGAAACAGAGGAAGCAGTTTCACAAGATGATTATACCGAGTGTAGTATGGGCTTGAAACAATTACAAAATGAACAGCTAGATATTGCGTGCTGTACGCAATACGATACATTGCCTGTTTCACATATTCAGTTAGGTTCTCGTGTCCACAATTACACGTGTACTTTATGTCCACACATGTGTTATGACGGAGACTTGTAGGCGATCCGTGAAGGTCCGGGGTAGAATGAACCTTCAGTAGCCCATGCTTGTCGTAAGAGGTGACTAACGGGATCGGGTGGTCAGACTCGCTGACTTGGTTGACACGTGTCATCGGTTTCCAATTGCGCAAATCGATGCTCATGCTGTTGATCACTGGATTGTCTGGTCCAGACGCGATTATTTACAGACCGCAGCCATATAGCTGGAATATTGCTGAGTGCGGCGTAAAACTAAACTCACTCACTCACTCACTTGTAGGGGACGCTCATTGTGTTGTCATAGGTGTTTGTCTGTGACATCCAATAATAAGCGACAGAGCCGAGTCCCAATGCCACAAGATATCCACACTGCAGGATTCGGACTGTACCATGAATGTGTGTTTATGATTCACAATCACATATCGATGATACAAGGTGAGGGTATCCTGCCCACCTGGAACATGTCACAATCAGATGCAAAAGTCAATTCTACACCTGTGAAAACACATAGCATAATTTTATAATGGTAGAAATCAAAATAGGGAAATCCACAGGAATTTACGTCACTAATGCGTCAGAATGTCCTCTACATGTCTACCACAAAAGCTTTGAAAACAAACATTTGTATTTGTATCACGCAGTTTAGATTAGTTAATGAAGAAAACGATTAATAGGAAATGTAATTACCAGCAAATAGGAAGACCTTCGAAATTTGATATGCCAACTGCTCCCCAAACACACAGTTTCCTGAAACCCATTTGGGGAACGCTAGATTAATGCTATACAAAAACATATATTCTCAATGCGACATACTCAAATTTAATATTTTTACCTGAATGACCATTCACAACCATCATATATTAATTCAGATCGGTGCTGTTTATGTCTCGGGTAGCGTGACATTAGACTGTTTATCACTTCCATGTTCAGCTATTATTTATTCATATGACCTTTTTCCTGAGACGGACTTGTTTCTATTTTATTTCATAGTACGTCGCTCTATTATAGTAGTAGCCCTGTGTTGGAGACCGCCATTGCAGAGTTTCGAACCTATAGGTTCGGCCTGTCAAGACAACACTTTAACCGCTAGGCTACCTACTGCCTCTGATGCCTATTAAGCTCTCAGGGTCACGATCGTTATGTTGCTGTAGTCGATTATTTAAATACTCTTAATGATCGTTTGTTCATTATACCAGCACACGCACCATTCGCGAGATGAAGCTTCTATTAGCTCTGTCGAAATGACTGATTTGACGTCTTGTTATGCGGATCTTGTACTGCGTCCATTTTAAACTGTTTTAAATCTCTGCTATCACAATGTTGGATGATTACCCTGGGCAGAAACTGGCATGGGGTCTTAATTATCTCCATTAACTTGAAACATCTTAAGACATCTCTTGTATGTCACATCCCGCTTCCAAAGGTCTTGTTCTGGTGAGAGTTGTAATAAACCCGTACACGGAAATGATGATCGAACCGTTAAATGTCAACGCGCGATTTCGGAAAGAGGTAGTTGGGGGTTTTCAAATAGTCGCTGACGTGTGAATCAACTGTATCTAAGTGACAAAATCACTTACGACATTTTTAAATAGAATGGCAAGTCGATACAACAATCAGGGTTGTTCTGAACCATTTTTTCTGTTAAAAGAATTATCAAGAGTACATCAGCATTTACTGAGTGTGAGGAAAAACATGAACAATTCGTAAGCCACAGTTGCCACAATGTCCTGGAAACCGAGATACAATCGATACCCACACCTGTGAACAGGATCAGGTTCCAACTGAAGGGCATCCTGCTGTTCATCATACTAGATGTATTGATACAGCGCACAGTGGATAAACATTTAAATATATCAGTAAATTATACATTGACTGCATTGATAAACAAGTCATGCGAAATATTAATACCTCACAATTGTGTGTATTATAATCAAACCAGCCATACGTAGCAATGCCTCATGGGAGAACGAGAGGATATGATAGGCGAGTAATGGGCTATATAGGCCATTTTATTATCAGTTCTAAACATGTTTGTCTGTTTAATATAATCACGCTAAATACATCATGGCGTCTGTATGGGAATGCATGACAATAAATTAATACCATGATGTCTGCAATAGACATGATGCAATACATTTACACCATGGCGTCCGCATTGATATGACAT